CCTCTGGGTAGCATGGAGATGCCTCTGGGTAGCATGGAGATGCCTCTGGGTAGCATGGAGATGCCTCTGGGTAGCATGAGATGCCTCTGGGTAGCATGGAGATGCCTCTGGGTAGCATGGAGATGCCTCTGGGTAGCATGGAGATGCCTCTGGGTAGCATGGAGATGCCTCTGGGTAGCATGGAGATGCCTCTGGGTAGCATGGAGATGCCTCTGGGTAGCATGGAGATGCCTCTGAGTAGCATGGAGATGCCTCTGGGTAGCATGGAGATGCTTCTGGGTAGCATGGAGATGCCTCTGGGTAGCATGGAGATGCTTCTGGGTAGCAAGGAGATGCCTCTGGGTAGCATGGAGATGCTTCTGGGTAGCATGGAGATGCCTCTGGGTAGCATGGAGATGCCTCTGGGTAGCATGGAGATGCCTCTGGGTAGCATGGAGATGCCTCTGGGTAGCATGGAGATGCCTCTGGGTAGCATGGAGATGCCTCTGGGTAGCATGGAGATGCCTCTGGGTAGCATGGAGATGCCTCTGGGTAGCATGGAGATGCTTCTGAGTAGAATGGAGATGCCTCTGGGTAGCATGGAGATGCCTCTGGGTAGCATGGAGATGCCTCTGAGTAGCATGGAGATGCCTCTGGGTAGCATGGAGATACCTCTGAGTAGCATGGAGATGCTTCTGGGTAGCATGGAGATGCCTCTGGGTAGCATGGAGATGCTTCTGGGTAGCATGGAGATGCTTCTGGGTAGCATGGAGATACCTCTGGGTAGCATGGAGATGCCTCTGGGTAGCATGGAGATGCCTCTTGGTAGCATGGAGATGCCTCTGGTAGCATGGAGATGCCTCTGGGTAGCATGGAGATGCCTCTGGGTAGCATGGAGATGCCTCTGGGTAGCATGGAGATGCCTCTGGGTAGCATGGAGATGCCTCTGGGTAGCATGGAGATGCCTCTGGGTAGCATGGAGATGCCTCTGGGTAGCATGGAGATTCCTCTGGGTAGCATGCTTACCTACTTCGTTAATAAATGGCGATGATCCATACTGAATAACAGTCATGGCGTTGGTATGTCATAACCTTGTTACCACAAATTATGCAGCCACACATCAGTATTTAATATTTTTTCATCAAGTCACCAGAGGACTGAAAACCCCACAGTGGTCTGAATGCCCGTAATAAGCCTTTCTGGCTGTGTTAGTGAGAAAAAAAATTAACGACTAATGCCTAGTCAAAGAAAATTAAAAAAAAATTGCGTGTTCATTAAGAACAGCTTTATGTAAGTTGTATTAGTCCTCCTAAATGGAAATTGTCAGTGTCAAACAACTTGCTTAATACCCTCAAACTGTCCAAGCGTAGATCTACGCTAAAAAAAACTTCTCCGCCTGTACACTCTAATATATAAACGGAAGAGACTGGATATTTAATCCATTTATCCAAAATTCCCACTTAGGCTTGTGTCCATCACCAAATCGAATTGTCACTTGTGACTGCTGCAGTGTCTATGGTTGAAATTAAATGTCCATCAGCTGGGACAGGTCAGTATTAACATTATATACATTGGGAATGGTTAATCCGGTGCGTGTTATACGGTGTTTGGAGAATAATAAATATAAATGCGCCTATGTGGGACGATTGACTACCTGTCGCATAGTGTGTGGGGATCTTCATGGAGCCTACCTACGCAGTGGACATGATGCAGCCTACATAGCGGACATGATGCAGCCTACACAGTGGACATGATGTAGCCTACACAGTGGACATGATGCAGCCTACATAGTGGACATGATGCAGCCTACATAGTGGACATGATGCAGCCTACATAGTGGACTACCTGTCGCATAGTGTGTGGGGATCTTCATGGAGCCTACCTACGCAGTGGGCATGATGCAGCCTACATAGCGGACATGATGCAGCCTACACAGTGGACATGATGCAGCCTACACAGTGGACATGATGCAGCCTACACAGTGGACATGATGCAGCCTATATAGTGGGCTTAATGAAGTTTGAGCCAATAAAGAAGAGGGTAGCTTCATATTCCATAGATCATGACGCCGTCACCGGCATCAAAACGAATGCACAAAATATATCGCTGGTCTTAGATAAAATATAAATTAACGTAATGTACTGGAAATAATTTTCTTAATTATATTATTTTTTTATTATTTAACTAAATAATTGTTCATGGATATGAATGGAGATTGATATTTTTTTATATTTTGATTTATTATTTCTGAAAAGAACTTTGGTTCACATTCCGTCACATAGTAAGACAGACTTTCAGCATTGTGGTGCCGCCACCAATGGAAACTCAATTTGCTTTTCTGGCGGGATGCTCCAGCCAATTAAAACCAGAGTTTAATTTATGACGTAGATAAATAGAACAGCAGGGCCCCAGCATCCAATCAGCGTTAGTGATGTCATAGAAGCTTAGCCAATCATGGCAGGCTACGTCAGAGCCTGGAGGTAAGTGAGTGCCCGCGCTTTCTTTCCCCCTCAGTCGCCTACGGCAGTAAATGGCGTGTGGGTGCGCGCTCATCCGGTAAGCAATTTCCTCGAAATTTCTTGGAAATAACTTTTTTTTTTAACATTTCTGATGATGCGGTGTGTTCGCTGTTTATCTCTGATGCTGTTCTACATGCAGAATATATAGGAAATTTGATGTGTATTGATTTTATCCATAAATTTAGATTTTAACATTCCAGTGTTTCATTTCCAGAAACGATGCTTGGCCCCAGACCTGACGTCAACCACTTGGCCCCAGACCTGACGTCAACCACTTGGCCCCAGACCTGACGTCAACCACTTGGCCCCAGACCTGACGTCAACCACTTGGCCCCAGACCTGACGTCAACCACTTGGCCCCAGACCTGACGTCAACCACTTGGCCCCAGACCTGACGTCAACCACTTGGCCCCAGACCTAACGTCAACTGCAACATTAACTTCTATGGTAACTATAAATATTTATATAACTTTTCCAGCATTGACTCGTTAAATTTGTTCACCAGGATGCACATTCCATTGCCGGGGGGGGGGGCCTTGATGCTGTTGGACTTGATCCAAATTATTGGATCAAGTCACCGACCCTTACAGGTTTATCACCCGTTAGTCTCGGACGTTGATGCTAAAGGGATTTTGATCCAGGAATTTAGTTTTCTATATTTACCACTATTTTGGCTGCTGGTATCAAGGTGTACCTTGATGCTGCTGGTGTTTTGATTCAAGGTATTTTTACCAGGCATTTTGACCCTTACAGGTTTAACGTTCCACTCAAGGGAGGTTCCTTGATGCTGGTGAGGGGCTCTTGATCTAGGGAATTGGATCTGTGCTCCAGTTATCTGAATTATGTCTTAATGCCTTCCATCCCCCCCCCCTTTCCCCGAGCTAGACAATCCTTACGGGTTGAGCGCTCCCTATATGGTCAGCATCATGGAAACCCCATCATGGGAGGGGGCCCTTGATGCTGGTAAAGGCGTCTTGTCCCAGCAAAATGAGTCTCCTCCCTCGGATCAGACTTGTTCACCTGCCCATGCTCATGTACAGTATAAGGACCCTGCTGGTTTAGCGCTTCGCATGTATAATACACTTGTGAAGTGCAGTGACGGTTAATTAACGTCCGAAACAATTTTGAATTGTTAAAATTTGTTTTCTGACGGTTTCTTGATCCATTATTATTTTGTATATTTCTGACTTTTATGACCTTTTATCTATTTTATTTTTTTTTTTTAATTTCCATTATTATTTCCTGACCTTTTTTTTTATCCATTATTTCATGTTTAATGTGAATCATCTAAATTTAAAGACCCTTCAAGAGTTCGGATTGTCTCTTGATATGGAGGGGTGCTTAATTGGGGGGGTCACCTGCTGCTGGTAAAAGGGGCTCTTGATCCAGGGTCCCTTGATGTCACCCCTCCCCTTCCTCGGATCAAACCTTGTTACCTCCCTTAATGGTTTAAGCAATTCTATAATTAGAATTACACGAGGAACTCGTTTGGCGTTTTATTAAAAACTTATTCCTTGTTTTTCAACAAAATTGTTCTTGATGTTGGTGAGGGGCTCTTGATCTAGGGAATTGGATCTGTGCTCTGGTTCCCTGAATACCTGCCGCATCCCCTCGCATAAGCGTTGTATAATCCTACTGGTTTAGCGCTCCCCTTGATTATAATGTATAGGTTTAAAGTGAGAAGAAAACTAAGTTTGGAGGATCTATTAGGACTGAAAGGATCTATCCGGGGTACCTTGATGCTTAGGAAGGGATCTTGATACGAGGGATACCTTGATGAAGGATTCTGATACGAGGGGTACCTTGTTGCTGGTGAAGGGATCTGGATATGAAGGGTACCTTGATACTGGTGAAAGGCTCTAACTACGAAGGGTGCCTTGATGTTAAAAGGTCTCTTGATTCCGGATGCCTTGAAAGTTTTCATGGTTTTTAAAGGTTCGTGATCTGAGGTTACCCTGAAGACATCTTGAACCGTGGCACCTTGATGCTGATGAGGGGATCTTTATCTGGGGTTACCTTGATGCTAGTGCAAGGGTCTTGACCCCAAGAAATTTTATAGTTTTTCATTTCTCCAGATATGCGTTTCATAGTTCTAGGCGCTGTGTGACGCCTAAGGGCTTAGGTTTAGCATGCGTTTCCTTAAGACACCTGCTGTCACTGTTCACCTAGGTCCTAGGAGTAAAATAGGTACCTGGGTGTTTGTCGACTGGTGTGGGTCGCAACCTGGGACAAAATTTACCTTATTTGTCCGAAATATTCTGCATAACAAAGGGCTTTCTATATAGTAGACTGTCATTGATGTCAGCTAGGCTGTATACATTATTATTATTATTATTATTTATAGTGTGATTAGGCTTCTCGCGCGTACCCCTGGGAAAATTTCTCTACACACACACACACGTATATATATATACGTGAAGAGGGGTTGTTGAGGTGGTTTGGCCATTTAGAGAATGGATCGAAGGAGAATAACACGGAGAGCGTATAAATCTGTAGGGGAAGGAAGGCGGGGTAGGGGTCGTCCTCGAAAAGGTTGGAGGGAGGGGGTAAAGGAGGTTTTGTGAGCGAGGAGCTTGTACTTCCAGCAAGCGTGCGTGAGCGTGTTAAGAGTGAATGGAGACGAATGGTATTTGGGACCTGACGAGCTGTTGGAGTGAGCAGGGTAATATTTAGTGAAGGGATTCAGGAAAATCGGTTATTTTTATATAGCCGGACTTGAGTCCTGGAAATGGGAAGTACAATGCCTGCACTTTAAATGAGGGGTTCGGGATATTGGCAGTTTGGAGGGATATGTTGTGTATCTTTATACGTATATGCTTCTAAACTGTTGTATTCTGAGCACCTGCAAAAACAGTGATTATGTGTGAGTGAGGTGAAAGTGTTGAATGATGAAAGTATTTTCTTTTTTGGGATTTTCTTTCGTTTTGGGTCACCCTGCCTCGGTGGGAGACGGCTGACTTGTTAAAAAAAAAAAATAAAAAAAATATTCATAGTTATTTTAATGGTGTCCTTTCATTTACTTCCCATTCCCCAGTGGGTTATGACCCGTGTAGGTTTAGCGCTTCAATGTTAATTTTCATTCCAAATGTTTTCATCGCCAGATTCAAATCATCTATTTTTATATATCCAAATTATTTACAATGCCATGATTACCAAAATGAGTTGATTAAAGCCCACATTTTTTCCCTCAGAATGTTTCGTCTGAGCGTCTCGACCTCAGGAGGACGTCACCAGTGACTTCATATCATCATCTGACTTTGGGCAAGTAGATCACCTGACGGTAGAGCGTCCGACTGTCAAGTTTTTTTATGGTTCAAGCCGCTCGTCCCCCCTTCTATTTATTCATTGACAGTTCTTTATTACAACTTAATTTGAGCTTCATAGATCGTAAATTTTCTATTTGTGTCATTTGCTCTTTTTTGGTGTATATGTCACTTGCTTTTTTTAGTGAATCTTATATGGATTTTTTTGGTGTATATTATACTCGTTTTTGTCTTCGTGTTATAAGTGAAAATTTGCATTTTAACCGAAAACGAAATTATTACTGCAATTTCTAGCTACGACAGATTGAGGAATTTGTAGAAATGTGATTATAATCATATGTATTTTTTTTTTCAATTTGTTAATGTATTCTCAGAAATGAAGCTTATTTTTTTTACTGATAATATTTCCCATTTGTAAAAATGTATTTTGCAAAATAAGGTTGTGGGATCCCTCACACCTGGGATCCCCTGGGATAGCTTTCCCTTGTGGTCTTAATGTCAGTTTACCACTGACTAATTCTAGGGGTTTATCACCCTGGCTACTCCAGGGTCTGCCACCCTCATTACTTCAGGGTCTGCCACCCTCACTACTCCAGGGTCTACCACCCTTGCTACTCCAGGGTCTGCCACCCTGGCTACTCCAGGGTCTGCCACCCTCATTACTCCAGGGTCTGCCACCCTCATTACTCCAGGGTCTGCCACCCTCACTACTCCAGGGTCTACCACCCTTGCTACTCCAGGGTCTGCCACCCTGGCTACTCCAGGGTCTGCCACCCTCATTACTCCAAGGTCTGCCACCCTTGCTACTCCAGGGTCTGCCACCCTGGCTACTCCAAGGATTATCACCCAGGGGAGACACCATGGGGTCGCCATGATTAATGTTTTTCTACAGATTAATGCTTTTTTACAGGTTCATGTTTTTTTCAGATTAATGTTATTTTACAATTAATTTTTTTCACATTGATGTTTTTACAGATAATTTTTTTTTTCAGATTAATGTTTTTAACAGATTAATGTTCTATTCCTTTAGATAAATGTTTTTTTCAGATTAATGTTTTTTACAAATTAATTTTTTTTTTCAGATTGTTTTTTATTAATTTTTTTCAGATTTTTTTTTTTACAGATTAATGTCTTTTTACAGCTTAATGCTTTTTTACATGTTATTTTTTTCAGATTGTTATTTTATAATTAATTTTTTTCACATTGATGTTTTTACAGATAACTTTTTTTCAGATTAATGTTTTTTTACATATTAATGTTTTTTTGCAGATTGTTATTTTACAATTAATTTTTAATTGATGTTTTTACAGATTAATGTTTTTTAATGTTTTTAGATATTTTTTTTTTTTTCATCTAATATTTTTTCAGTTAAATGCCTTTTCATGTTAAATGTTTTAACTAAATATTTTTTGAATAATACTTTTCAGCTTCATTGTCTAGTGTAATGTTTTTAAGAGAATTTTTTTATTGTAATTCTTGCCTTTCAACCCAAAAATGTTTTTTGGCATAGAATTTTTATTAAGTCTGAATGTTTTTTTTTCAGTAATCTTCCTTCAACCCTTTAAAAACATTTTTTTCTTTGCCTAAATAATGTTTAAAATTTTTGTTTTCCATTTCAGCTGAACCATTGTCATATAACCAATTTTTTTTTTTTTTTTTTTTTTTTTTTTTTTTTTTTTTTTTTTTTTTTTTTTTTTTTTACAAATACGTATTTCCCTAAATTAAAATTTATTTCTTTGCTACAAAGCCATATTGTAATTTATTTTCATGAAGCTTAAATTTATTCATTAATATATTTTCAAGTGTTTTCTCTACAGTTTTAGTGATCTTTGATGTCCATTATTATAATCCTGACTATACACTTTCAACCTTTGATCAAGTAAGTTCACGTAAAGTTAGTGTTGGTGTAGTTTTTATGTGATCACCATATTTCTTTAATTTATTGAAACTGGTAATAATATGCAGTCAATTTTCTCATTACAGTTAAGATGCATTTCAGAGACATGCTATAAGGTTCTCAGATTTTTAAATTGTGATAACTAAATTCACTAAATTCTCAATATAATCATTTAGATAACTTGGCAACAATTCACTGAATTTTCATTATGATCATTTAAGATAATAACTTGTCAGTAATTCACTAAATTTCCAATATAATTTTGAATAAGAATTTGCAACTTCATTTAACCAAAATTTTTAAATGAAATTGAGGCACTAAATAAATTTTATCAGTTGATGTGCTAATGTAATCTATTTAATGCTGAGTACATTTATTTTCATTTTAATAATAGGGAATTTCTCATAAATATTTATTCGCTGAGAAATTTTAAACCGCTGTGCTTAATGATAATCTTTATTTCTACATTTTCATGTACGAGGTATATAGGCCTAGCTGATACCAATGACGTATTACTAAATAGAAAGCTTCTTGTTATGCAGAACATTTCGGGCAAATTAGGTCATTTTTGTACCCAGGATATGACCCACACCGGTCAACACCCAGGTACCTATTTACTGCTAGGTGAATAGGGACAGCAGGTGTCTTAAGGTTTTCACCTGTAATGGGGACTGAACCCCAGACCTCAGTGTGAGCTGAGTGTACTAGCAATTGAGCTCATGGGATTATTTTGATTTAGAGGAAGTCCTCAGCATTGGATATATGTGATCATTTAGAGATTTTAGGCAAGTATAATCTAATGCATTACTTTATTAGGCTCACAAGCAGCTTTATTGGATGAACACCCCATGAGGCACTGTTGCATTGATGATGCAGGTAATGACCCCTCATTTGATAATTAGGTTGTGAGGAATGAACTTCAAGAGATATTTGGTAAAGCAAAGAATGAACCTCAGCGGATAATTGTGCAAAATGAATGAGCCTCCACTGATAATTAGGTAAAGGGAGTGATGAATCTTTACTGATAATTAGGAAAAGGGAGTGATGAACCTCAACTTAATTAGGTAAAGGGAGTTATGAATCTTGACCAATAATTAGGCAAAGCAAGTGATGAACCTTGACCAATAATTAGGTAAAGTGAGTGATGAACCTTGACCGACATCAGGTAAAGCGAGTGATGAACCTCGACCAGTATCAGGTAAAGCGAGTGATGAACTTCGACTGATAATTAGGTAAAGCAGGTGATGAACTTGGACTGATAATTAGGTAAAGCAAGTGATGAACCTCGACTGATAATTAGGTAAAGTGAGTGATGAACCTCGACTGATAATTAGGATTAGTAAGTGATGAACCTCGACTGATCATTTGGTTGAGTGATGAACCTCGACATGATTAGGTAAAGCAAATGATGAACCTCTACTGATAATTAGGTAAAGCAAGTGATGAACCTCAACTGATAATTAGGTTGAGTGATGAACCTCGACGGATGATTAGGTTGAGTGATGAACCTCGACAGATGATTAGGGTAAGTGATGAACCTCCATAATTAGATAAAGCAAGTGATGAACCTTGACTGATAATTAGGTATAGTGAGTGATGAACCTCGACAATTAGGTAAATCGAGTAATGAATTGGCATAATTAGGTAAAATGAGTGATGAACCTCAACTGATAAGTAAAGGGAGTGATGAACCTCGGCATAATTAGGTAAAACGAGTGATGAACCTCGACTGATAATTAGGTGAAGGGAGTGATGAACCTCAACAAATTAGGTAAATTGAGTGATGAACCTTGACTGTTAATTAGGTAAAGTGAGTGATGAACCTTGAAATAAAGCGAGTAATGAATCTCATCATAAATTAGGTAAACTGAGTGATGAACATCGACTGATAATTAGGTAGGAGTGATGAACCTTGACCAATAATTAGGTAAAGCAAGCGATGAACCTTGATCAATAAGGTAAAGCGAGTGATGAACCTTGACCGATATTAGGTAAAGTGAGTGAAGAACTTTGACCGATATTAGGTAAAGCAAGTGATGAACCTCGTCTGATAATTAGGTAAAGCAAGTGATGAACCTAAACTGATAATTAGGTAAAGCAAGCAATGAACCTTGACAGTTCATTAAGTTGAGTGATGAACCTCGACATAATTAGATCAAGCAAGTGATGAACTTCGACATAATTAGGTAAAGCCAGTGATGAACCTAAATTGATAATTGGGTTGAGTGATGAACCTCGACTGATAATTAGTTTTATGAATCTCGACTGATAATTAGATTGTGTGATGATCCTCGATTGATAATTAGGTTGAGTGATGAACCTCGACATAATTAGGTAAGCAAATGATGACCCTCATGATAATTAGGTAAAGCAAATGATGAACCTCAACTGATAATTAGGTAAAACGAGTAATGAGCCTCAACATAATTAGGTAAAGCCAGTGATGAATCTCATAATTAGGTAAAGTGAGTGATGAATCTCTACATAATTAGGTAAGTCGAGTGATGAACCTTGGCTGATAACTAGGTAAAACGAGTCATGAACCTTGACATAATTAGGTAAATCGAGTGATGAATCTCATCAGATGATTAGGTAAAGCGAGTGATGAACCTTGACATAATTAGGTAAAGCGAGTGGTGAACCTTGACTGATAATTAGGTAAAGCGAGTGATGAACCTTGACTGCTCATTAGGTTGAGTGATGAACCTCAACATAATTAGGTAAAGCAAGTGATGAACCTCTACTGATAATTAGGTAAAACGAGTGATGAACCTCGACATGAGTAAAGCAAATGTTGAACCTCGTATGATAATTAGGTAAATCGAGTGATGAGCCACGACATAATTAGGTAAAGCTAGTAATGAACCTCGACATAATTAGGTAAAGCCAGTGAAGAACCTCATAATTAGGTAAAGCCAGTGATAACCTCGACATAAGCAAAGTGAGTGATGAACCTCGTCAGATAATTAGGTATAGCGAGTGATGAATCTCAACATAATTAGGTAAGTTGAGTGATGAACCTCAACATAATTAGATAAATCGAGTGATGAACCTCGACATAATTAGGTAAAGCAAGTGATGAACCTCAACATAATTAGGTAAATAGTGATGAACCTCGACATAATTAGGTAAAGCGAATGCTGAACCTTTGACAATTAGGAAAGTGAGTATTAAACCTCATCTGATAATTAGTGATGAACCTCGACATAACAGGGTAAAGTAGGGGTTGAACCTCAACTAATAGGATAGTGAGGGTTGGACCTCAATAATTCGATAAAGCGAAGGTTGAACCTAAACTAATACGACCTGGTTGAACCTCAATATGAGAGTGAGGGTTGAACCTTTAATAATTGGAAGAATTGAGGGTTGAATCTCTTAATAATTGGAAGAATCAAGGGTTGAACCTTTAATAATTAAATCAAGTGAGGGTTGAGCCTCAGTAATTGGAAAAAAGTGAGGGTTGAACCTCAGCTAATAGGATAGTGAGGGTTGAACCTCAGTAATTGAGTAAAGTGAGGGTTGAACCTCAGTAATTGAGTAAAGTGAGGGTTGAACCTCAGTAATTGAGTAAAGTGAGGGTTGAACCTCAGTAATTGAGTAAAGTGAGGGTTGAACCTCAGTAATTGAGTAAAGTGAGGGTTGAACCTCAGTAATTGAGTAAAGTGAGGGTTGAACCTCAGTAATTGAGTAAAGTGAGGGTTGAACCTCAGTAATTGAGTAAAGTGAGGGTTGAACCTCAGTAATTGAGTAAAGTGAGGGTTGAACCTCAATAGGATAGTGAGGGTTGAACCTCAGTAGGATAGTGAGGGTTGAACCTCAATAGGATAGTGAGGGTTGAACCTCAATAGGATAGTGAGGGTTGAACCTCAATAGGATAGTGAGGGTTGAACCTCAATAGGATAGTGAGGGTTGAACCTCAATAGGATAAAGTGAGGGTTGAACCTCAGCTAATAGGATAGGGTTGAACCTCAACTAATACGATAGGGTTGAACCTCAACTAATACGATAGGGTTGAACCTCA